TCGCTCGCGCTTGTGGCGTACTCGCGCGCTGTCGCGCGCCTATTGCTGCTGCTACCTGCATCTAGCGCGTCCTCGCCACTCCCGCGAGTATCGCGCATGTCTCTCGTTCCCGCGCCGCTCGCGCTGCCGTCTCGTGCCTTGCGCATCGCGCTCAGCGCCCCAGCGCCCCGATCCCCTACCGTGCGCTCCCGTGCACCCGTTACCTTGCGCGTACCGCCAACCACCGTGGCCTGCTTGTCTACCACGCACCCTATCGCGTCCATCGCATCCGATACCTGGCCCAGCACATATTCGCGCGCATCACGGCCCGATGCGCGCCCCACGCCCGATAGCCGATCTTCCTCGACCCTTCTGCCGTCCAGCGCCGTTGGCTCGCCCGTTGGCCATGGGTCCCATCCATCCATCCCGATGCAATCACCAACTCTCCAAATCCAACCGTCCTCCATTCTACTCGTACCTCCCCTTCGAGCCACCGTCTTGCGAACTCGCCTTTTCCTCGAACAAGGCTTACACCAACACTTCTCCTCTTTTGTCTCCGCCTTGTGTATCCTTCGAGCTCGTCTGGTCTTGCTCCTCCTAGGCTTGAGCTTAGCTTGCGGACCACATCCCTTTGGCTAGTCTCTTACACATGATGGTCGATTATTCGGGTTTGATGGCTCTTCCAACACGTTCTCCAACCATAAAACGAGACCATCGTTGCCTTCATCGTTTGACTCCCCGGGGTTGATGACCACTTCCGTATCATTCCCCTCCTCTTCGAGACTTTCCTTGTCCTCAAGGATTAAGAAATTAAGCTCGCCTTCCCCTTCATTGTTCTCAACCACCATCGCGTCTCGGGCTCCCATGAGTTGACGCTCATACTCCTCAATATTCCTTCTCTCATGGAGCTCGTCTAAATATGTTGCCTCCCATGGTGTGAGCTCTCTTTCTAAACCCTCCAACATCTCAAGATCTTCCCAATCTAACTCATCCATTGGTGGGTAAGACATTTTTTTTTTTTTTTTTTGAGACTCTAACAAAATTCGAAAAATAATAGGGGAAATATTCGAAAAATTCGAACCCCCAAACAAGACTCAAAATTCGAAACAAAAAAGAAATTCAGCCCCTTAACAAAAGGTAATAACCGAAAAAAAAAACAAAGGACTAACAAGATGACACTTTTTTTTTTAATGAAAAATTCGAATTAAATTCGAAAATTTCGACACAAAAAAAAGAAGAGAAATTCGGTCCCTCACCAAAAGGCAAACCGAAAAAAATAAAAGGATAAGATAGATAACCACACGATCAGCCCCTCTCAATGAAAGCACCAATGATGACGGATCGTGTGTTCACCTATACGTGGTTGCGAATAAATGACGCACTGAGGCCTTCGTTTATCCCCGATAGATGTATCTAG